GAAGCACCGTGAGAAGCCTGAAGTGCTGAATGAAACGGCCCTGGAGGATGGCCCCTACCAAAAGAATCCCTGCCACCAGACGAGGCACCACAGAACCTACCAGAATGATGAGGCCTCTTGTCAGACCCATGACCACTCCCCTGAGGTAGAACTGCCTCAACTCGCCGGGCCACATTGGCCGCATCTTGAAAAGAAATCTCTCTACCCGTCTCCTTACCCATATGCAATCTGATAGGCTGAGCGAGTCCCTCAATGAACCTCCTCTCTCTTTCTTTCTTGGTGGGGAGTATAAGAAGAGCATGATGAGCCAAATCAACAAACCTAGTCTCGTATTGAGTGACAGTCATAGATCCCTGCTGAAGATGCTCGAACCGCCTGCGGTAGTCCTCTTTTTGGGTGACAGGAAGGAATTTCTCGAGAAATAGCTAAGAGAACTGGTCCCAAGTCAAGGCAGGCGACCCAGCTGGTCTAGTTAACACAAAATCATTCCACCATCTCTTGGTGGACCCTATAATCAGGAATACAGTGAAGTCGACCCCATTGGTCTCTACTATCCTCATGTTCCGCAACACCTCATGGCAGCGGTCAAGATAATCCTGGGGGTCCTCAGAAGCTGCCCCACTGAAATGAACCGGGAAAAGGTTGGTGAACTTGTCCAACCTCAAAAAAGCCTCTGAAGACATAGATGAGCCACCAACGGCCTGAGCTGCAACAACTGGCTGAGCTACTCCCACTGGCTGAGCTGCTGGAGTCTGGAACTGAGGAGCCATCTGCTTCGGAGTGTGAGTAGCAGAAGTCTGTGCTCCTCCCCCAGCCTGAGAGACGGCTGGTGCTATAGGAAGTATGCCTGCTTGAGTGACACTCTCCATAAGGCCCACTAGACGGAGAAGAGCATCCTGAAGTACCGGGGTAGCGATGAACCCCTCTGGAACCTGGCTTGGCCCTGCTGGAACGGTCTGGGCCGGAACCTCATCCTCAAACTCTACTTGAGGCTCCGCTGCTGGTGCTGCTGCTCGAGCTCTAGTATGAACCCTGCCCCTGCCTCGGCCTATAGCACGGCCTCGGCCTCGTCCTCTGCCCCTCGTAGGAGATGCCACTGGGGGCTCGGGCTGCTGATCAGCGGATGAAGCGGTACGTGTTCTCGCCATCTGCGAAAGAACAGAGTAGAAATTCAATTAGCATTGAGAAGTCAAATCGCACGACAGAGAAGAATAGATGTGAAGTTATTCCTAAACTCTGTAGCCTCGGGGGAAGCACAGACGTCTCCGTACCGATCCCTCAGACTCTACCTAGCTTGTTTGTGAATTGTGAGACCTAGGCAACCTAGTGGTCTGATACCAACTTGTCACGACCCGAATTTCCCACCGTCGGGATCGTGATGGCGCCTAACTCTTGAATGCTAGGCAAGCCAACAATTTCGGTTTTAACATATTAACAATTAACCCAAACAGAAATAAATAATAACTAAAGCTAAACATATATAAAGTGCGGAAATGTTAAAACAGTTCAAAATACCCCAATACATGTCTACCCTAATGATCTGGTGTCACAATTCACAAACGTCTAAGAAGTTCTACAGATACTGGTTTTAAAGAATTACAACTGTTCTCGAAATGGAAAGAGACAGAAAATCCAAAATAGAGGGAACGGGACTCCAAGGTCTGGGGACGCCGGTAGATCTACCTCGGGTCTCCCGTGGACTGAAGGCAGCAACCTCAACACTACTCACGAGGTCCGGCGCCAAAATCTGCACAGAAAGTGTAGAGTGCAGTATCAGTACAACCGACCCCATATACTGGTAAGTGTCGAGCCTGCCTTGGCGACGTCGTGACGAGGCTAGGACACGATAACAATATAAACCTGTGTTAAATCATATACGAGAAACAATAATAACAGAAATTTAACAGATAAAGACGGGAAAGGGAAACATGCTGAGGGAAATATCAAATTCTGACAGTAATAAAGTAAAGAAGCAAGGTAAATATCAAACTTTGAACCAACAGAAATGATAACATAGTAACACGTGCATGTCATCACCCTTCATGCTTTTACTCTCGTCCTCACCCTAAAATCAATAGAAACGGCACGGCATCACCCTTCGTGCATTAACTCTCATAATCATGGCACGGCATTACCCTTCGTGCAATTAATACTCAAAGAAATATGGCACGGCATCACCCTTCGTACATTAACGCTCACTGAATATGGCACGGCATCACCCTTCGTGCATTAACACTCTCTCATAATATCGTGCACGACATCACCCTTCGTGCATTACACTCTTCCTCACCCAAATAATAGAAACAATAACATCCCGACAAGGGAATCAACTATAACCAATCTCGTTTCAATAGTTAATTTCAAAATGTATGTCTCCACTCGAGTCAATACTCAACAATTATCCAATGCCAAGAAAAATATCACAAGACTTGTTCAACATGGAGAATCATCTGTTTAAGCATGAATAGTACATAATAAGAAACACAACGGCCACAGTTTAAGACTCACTTGCATGCTCAACATCAACGTATAGATACTCGTCACCACACCTATACGTCGTACTCAACACTAACACGTAGCAAATAAGACAACAACACATATTCCCTCAAGCTAAGGTTAGACCAAACACTTACCTCGATTCTACGACCAAAGTCATGCCTCTAATACCGCTTTTCCTTTGATTTCCACTTGCAAACCGTCCGAATCTATGCATAATTAACTAATCAACACCAATTAACGCTAAATAAACCAATTCTAATGCATGAGTATAGATTTTCCAATGTTTTCCCCAAAAAGTCAAAGACCGACCTCGGGCCCGCTTGGTCATAACTCGAAGTTCGAACCAAAACCCGATTACCCATTCACCCACGAACACAAATATGCAATTGGTTTTGAAATCTGACCTCAATTTGAGGTCTAAATCCCCAAATTTCGAAATTTCTAAATTCTACCCAAGAACACCCAATTTCCCATGAAAAACCCTAGATTTTGAGATAAAATCATGTATAAAGATAAAATAGATCGAAGAAAATAAGTTAGAAATCTTTTACCTATGATTTGGGGAAGAACTCTCCTTTGAATAATCGCCTATGGGAGCTTAGGGTTTGAAAATTTGAGAAATGAGTTCAAAATCCCGTCTAAGTGATGTTTTGATCAGTTGCAGATGTCGCATTTGCGACAGGAGCTTCGCAATTGTGAAGCTCGCAAATGCGAGACAGGCTTCGCAAATGCGAACCTGCTGCATGTCTGCTACTGTCTCAATTGCGAACAATTTGTCGCAATTGCGAAGGTTGACCCTCCCTGTTGACTTCGCAAATGCGAAGGGGTGTTCGCAAATGCGAACTAAGCTGGCCCAGCCTTTTGATCGCATTTGCGATGAAAGGCTCGCACTTGCCAAGCCTGTGAAGCTCGCAATTGCGAAGCTTGATCTCGCAATTGCGAGATCAGAGGCCTGCAACTCTGCTGAAGCATACCAGCAAATTCCCTAAGTTCAAAATCACTCCGTAGCCTATCCAAAACTCACCCGAGCCCTCGGGACTCCAAACCAAACATGCACACAAGTCTAATAACACCATACGGACTTGCTCGTGCGATCAAATCTCCAAAATAACATCTAGAACTATGAATTCAACACCATAACTCATGAAATCTCAAGATAGTTCAAAATTTCTAACTTTTCAACCAAAGGTCCGAATTACAACAAATCACCTCCGTTTTTCACTAAATTTCACAGATATGACTTAAATGTTATATTAAACCTGTACCGAGCTCCGAAACTAAAATACGGGCCCGATACTAACGAGATCACACACTATCCCATTTCTAAAAATCTTTATATTTTCTAGCAAACAATTTTCTTCAAAAATTTATTTCTCGGGCTAGGGACCTCGGAATTCGATTCCTGGCATACGCCCAAGTCGCATATTTTACTACAGACCCTATGGGACCGTCAAATTACGGGCCTGGGTCCGTTTACAAAAAATATTGACCGAGGTCAACTTTAATCAATTTAAAAGGCAAAATTCAACATTTTTCTTAGATTTCACATAAGAGCTATCCGGAAATGCGTCCGGACTGCGCACACAAATCGAGAAGAAAGAAAATGAGATTTTTAAGGCCTCAAAAACCGAATTCGAATTTTAAAAGAAAAGATGACCCCTTGGGTCATCACAATATGAAACAATTTTCCGTTAAATAAAAGTCGTTGAACCCTCTTGATCAAAGGGATGCCTTGGTCGGATAGTTTAAGCGAGTTCAACAAATGCAGATGGTTGTGTATTCGATTTCTTATGCTAAATCAAGGATAGCTAATATTACTAAATACTTCCAATATCGTACACGATTGTAACATTCTGTCTTAGTAATTCTTTGAAATAATGATTCCGTAATTTTTACTTTTTTCAAGTTTAAGAATGGAGCGTGTTTTTACATTTTTTTCATTTTTAAATGTAAAAATATTGAATTTTGTTTTTTTATTTTTCCTTCATATTTTGTTCTATCCAAACAGCCTTTAGATATGAAACTTCCATATCGCTTCTTCGTCTTCTTTCTTGTATTATTTATTTAAATTATTTTCTCACTATAAAAAACTGGGGTAATTGCGGCGATCATAATTGTTTATAGAGGCGGTTAAGAACCGCTGTTATTATCACTAATGGCGGCCAACATACCCGCCGTAACCGCTTCCGCCAAAAGGTGTAATACGGCGATTTTCGTCGAACCACCGCAATATGCAGATAAAGCGCCGCAATATGCATATGTAAGTACGACTAGTTACTTTCCTTATTGTGGCAGTTTGTAACCGCCGTAATTGCTCTCTTTCAAATTTTAGCCATTTTATACTACCATAATTGTAATATTTTTAATGTTAATTTTCAATTCCACATTTAGATCCTTTATCCTTTCTAATGCACAAAATCCATCATAATATGTTATCAAGCACCCATCATAATAATTAACATAAATTATAGTAGAGAATTAGATAAGCTAAATATTCATCATATTAAAACATACCCAAAATCCACATCATCCAAGATTCAAGTTTAAGTTGCAGAGAGTTATTCAATAGTTACAACACAAAAAAACGTAATTCATCCTAACAATGATTACTAATTGTTGTTTGCTCAGTTTTCATATACTTCCGCCAAAGGATCTTCTTGGCCCAGTTGGTGACAGAAAGACATCTCCTAGATTGGGTGCCGGCATAATATAACATTAAATACCAAGTTAACATATATTCAGATCTAAATAAGCAGCACATATAAGTAGGAACGAAAAACACAGCACAGAACTTATTCAAAATTGTCAGAACTATTCAGTCAGTATCTAATGGAATAAATTCCTGAAAAAAAAGGAAAAAACAAAATACAATGTACAAGTCTTTGCGACAAGTTTTCAAACATCGCTGAATCAGACTAACAATGTCATTATAGAAATTCAGAACTATAACTAACTTGAGAAAAATATTCTTCTCTCTCCGGTGGGAATAATTTGAACTACACTGAATTAGCAGAAATTCAGAACTATACTGAATCAGAGAAAAATATTCATCAAGGTCACATAATAAACTATTGATACTAACTTGAGACACACAATACCAAAGCATAACAATCCGACTCAAGGGCAACTCCGACTCAATTGTCGACTGATTGAAAAAAAAATGTTGATTAATGGAACTTCATATCCTTAATAAATCTGACCCGATTGTCAAATCACAAGAGAAATAAAAATTGCTAATAGAAGGAACTTCCTATTTTGTCGACGTGGATCCCAATAAAAGAAAGGATAAAGTAAGGATAAAGTTAAGTATACCTATCAAATATAATTTTGTCGACATCGATCCCAATAGCTTTACCAGCTGTTTTAGATCCCTCGGCTACCTATCAAAGCCATAAATGATATTTTGGTTAATATTAGCAGAACAAAAACTAAAAATGTCAAAATTTAAACAAACACAAACTTAATTGAACAAAAAAGTAACAAAACTTGACACAAAAATAAAAGAAAAAAGAAATAAAACTATTAGCAGAAATGGACAGCTAAACCAGTGAAATCGACGGCCGAATCAAAAAAATTTACTGCCAAACAGTGAAATTGATGGCTTAAGCAGTGAATCGACAGCTAAAATCAGTGATTTAAACTGATCTTCGTCCAATACCCACACATGCACGCCTAAGATCAATGAAATCAATGGCTAAATCAACAAAATCGAAACCTAAATCAGTGAATTCACGGCTAAAATCAGTGATTTAAACTGATATCCATCCAATACACACACATGCACGCCTTAAAACAGTAAAATCAATGGAATTTTGGAAGGAATTACACGAACGACTTGAAACCGGATTATTAGAAAAGGGCTATCGTCTCAAACACATTACCTTAAACGACTTGAAATCTGATCTCCTTACATAAAAGCTATGGCAAAATGTCTGTTTGTTTAGACCTTAAACGATATGGGGGAATGAATTTGATACATATTTATCTAGGGCTTTAGAGAGAAAGAGAGAGAAGGTGTAGAGAGAAGGTCTATGGTTTAGAGAGAAAGAGACCGTCTGTTTGATGGCTTAATGTTTTAATAAAGTTCTTAATATTAAACATTAGTGGCGGTTTTGAACTGCCGTAATTGTTAAAAAAAAAATGCCATTTTAACATATGCACTAATGACGTCTGGAACGCCGCCGTATTATGATATATATTGCGGCGGTTTTGATGAACCGCCGTTATTTAACCGCCGCAATAATTCCGGTTTTTTGTAGTATCTTTTCATAGTTTTGGAACTTTTTATTATAAAAGTATTAATTTAGTTTAGTTTATAGCTCTCTTTCATTGTTTTTTGTTTACAATTAGCACAGGCTAAATTAAAATTAATAAGTAAGTAATTTTAGTATTTCTATATTAATCACATTGATGATTGTTACGGTAAAACTTGTAAAGAGTTTCTAAAGTCTTAAGAGATTATTAAGTTTGTAAAGGTAAATAGATTTATTGTTAAAATTTAGGTATAGATATAAATTATTTTAAGAAGTGTGATTTTGAAACAAAATAAAGAGTAGCGGGCATAATCTTTTTTAGGTAAACTCTATTTGTTAACTTAATGTTAATTGTACTATCGATTTTCGCTGAGGATTTCAGATGTGTTTGAACCCACTTGCATAAAATTTTGGATCCGCAAGTGATATAACTGAACAAAAAGCATTTTAAGTTGACTCTAGGATAGTCACGAAGAAGCTGCAAATATATTTGTCTAATAATGCTCTGTCTCTCCTTTAAAGTTTGTTGCACCTGCTCCAATCTTGCCTTTAGAATCTTTCTTATCATCCAACTAGCTTGTTGAAGCATAGAGATAGTATCTAACTGATTGCCTCTTATATAGTAACGTATGAATTCACCTAATCTATAACTTATCTTGCTTGTGAGCAAGATCTTAGTCACTCTTGGCAATAGCTGTTCCGTTCCAAAATTGAATATTAGTTAGATCTGAGTCCCCCAATGAATTTAGGTGTATATACCTTATCCCAAGCTACTAAAGCCTCTTAGTAATAGTATTAGCTCCAAACCAAATATAATATTGCAGAAGATCGTGGGTTAACAAACACATAATTACAAACAAAGTAAATAGAGGAAATAATCAACATAAGAATTTAACGAGCTTTGGCTAAGCCTAATCCTCGGGGCAGAAGCAGAGAGAGTTTTCCACTATGATTGAGAAGAGAAGCACAATACAATTTATGAAATTCCCAACTACAACCCCTATATATAGATCCCAAATAGTCTCAAACCTATTAGAGAAAGGTTTCCCAATCCGACAAGGGCAATAAGTTTTCCTTTTCCAAATCTATTAGAACAATGGATTTTCCCAAACCTATAGAATTATGGGTTTCCTAAAAATACAAGGAAATAATTCAAGTCACAAATAATAGATTTTTCCCTTGGCTTGAATTATGTTCATCAACAGAAACAACGTCTCTCTACCTTGCCCTCAGCCCTTGCAAGGGCTCTACCCATTACCGCACACATCAACCAGGTCTAGGCAACACCTAAACTTGTTAAGAGACTCAATCTCTTCAACACTAATCCGCCGATTTGGTTCTGTAATCAGAATAGGTTCTAGATAGCTATAACACTCAAACGCATCAAAGGTCTTTGCAACTGCCAAAGCTAATCCCACATGATTCGTAAATCTAAGAAGATTTCCTCAAGTACGTTGCGGTAGGTTGATCACTCTCTTCTCTCTACCTGTTACAATGCTATATGGTTGGTATTGATCAATATGATATATTAATGCACGCGTGCAACATCAACCATAAAGCATTGCAACAAGCAGAGAGAAGAGAGTGATCAATCGAGCGCAAAGGTTTGCAAACGTAGTTGAAGAGAATTTTCTTGGATATACGAATCCTTTGGGATTGCTATGGCAGTTGCAGAGACCATTGATGCGTTTGAGTGTATAGCTATCCAGAAGCTATTCTGAGTACAGAACCAAATCGAAGGATTAGTGCTATGACGACCCTATTTTTCCTCCGTAGGATGCCATGACGACACCTAGTCTCTAAGACTAGGTAAGCCTAACAATTATACCAAATAACTGAATATAAGCGAAAACTCAATATCTGGAGTAAATAAAACTACAATTAAAAATAATTACAATTCCCAAAACCCGGTAGAAATAAGTCACAAGCTTCTAAAAATAATAGTAAATGTCTCTATACATCAGAGTCTAATGAAGATAAGGGAAGAACAATATCAAAAAGCAAGAGGGGGACTCCGAGCTTTGCGGAAGCTGGCAGATATACCTTGAAGTCTCCACGAAATCACTGCTCATTGATAGTGAGGCTGGTAGGAGGTACCTAGATCTGCACAAAAAGATGTGTAGAAAAGTATCATGAGTACACCACAACGGTACCAGTAAGTGCCAAGCCTAACCTCGGTAGAGTAATGACGAGGTCAGGGGCAGGGCCCTACTGGAATAAAAGAATCAAGGCAAAAGAGCTAATATAATATGATGAAACAACTAAGAATTTAACAATGAGAAATACATAAAGGAAACTACACAACAAATAGGAATAACAACAAGGGCACTCCCGAGGTGCCGCCTTGTAGTCCCAAAAGTAAATACACAATAGAGGATCTCCCGAGGTACCGCCTCCTAGTCCCAAAAGTGAATATGAAACAGGGGGATCTCCCGAGGTACCGCCTCGTAGTCCCAAAAGTAAATATGCAACAGGGGATCTCCCGAGGTACCGCCTTGTAGTTCCAAAAGTAAATATGCAACAGGGGATCTCCCGAGGTACCGCCTGAGGTACCGCCTTGTAGTTCCAAAAGTAAATATGCAAGAGGGTATATCCCGAGGTACCACCTCGTAGTCCCAAAAGTAAAAACGCAACTCACAACTTAAGGAGCAATGAATTTACAGCAAGAAATCCTACAATTAAAGACTGAATACAAATCAAGGAAATAGGTAATTCAATTAAGCATGTTGCACAAATTGCAAGTAAGAGTTTAAAAAAGTAGTCATGCGACATTAGGCTAAACATGATGACTACACAGGCTAGGACAACTCAGTTAAGGAATTAAAAGAGAACTACTCAGCAAAAACCAGATTTTTCAACATATATCTCGTGTACGCACTCGTCACCTCGCGTATACGGCCTTCACGTATTTCAAATATCACAACAATGCCAAAACCTAAGGGGAATTTTCCCCACACAAGGTTAGACAAGTCACTTACCTCAAATCAAGCTCAATCAGTCAATAAGGATGCCTTTCCCTCGACTTTCTAACTCCGAATGACCCAAATCTAGCCAAAAGCAATTTCATACTATAAATATAACTATAAGAAACTAATCTAATTAATGAAATCAAGACTTTAACAAGAAATTAGGACATCGCCCCAAAAAGTCGATCCGGGCCCACGTCTCGGAATCGGGTAAAAGTCACAAAATACGAACACCCATACGATATCGAGTTCACCCATACTAAAATTACTCAAATACAACCTCAAATCGCCTTTCAATTCCCAAAAACTTGGTCTAAGAACTCTTATCATTTTTCTCCAAATTTCACACCCCAAATTCTTAACTAAATGAAGAAATTAACGATAGATTAGTGGATATAATAAAAAAAAATGAGTGTAGAATCCTTACCCAAATGTTTCCTATGAAGATCCCTTAATTATTGCCTCAATATGAGCTCTCTAGGTCCCAAATGAAAAATGAGATCAAACCCTCGATTCATCCTTTTTCTACCTAGTTAATCCGCTTCTGCAAGGGCTTCACCGCATCTGCGCACCTCCGGAATTCCCATTGGAGGTGCGGTTCTCACTTAGCCCAGGAACGACCGCATCTACGGTACAAAATGCGCTTCTGCGGACCATGTCCACTCTGCGATCAATAGGCCTCCCAGGCCTCTCAGCTTCTACGCTCATTGTTCCGTAGAAGCGACTCCGTTTCTGCGGCCTTCTCGTCGCACCTGTGACCACATTCCATTTCCCGCAGCCCCGCATTTGCGCCAAAAAGCTTGCTTCTGCGGGCTCGCACATGTGGTCAATCTTGCGCAGGTGCGATTGCACCAGAACTGGTGCACTTCAACAAATCTTCCAACTCCAATTCGATCAGCTAACCAATCGAAATCTACCCGAGGCCCCCAGGACCTCAACCAAATACACCAACAAGTTCTAAAACATTGTATGAACTAAGTTGAGCCTTTAAATCACATCAAATAATGCTAAAAACATGAATTGTGCATCGATTCAAGCCTAATGAACTTCAAAACTTCAAACTTCTACATTAGATGCCGAAACCTGTCAAATCAAGTCCGATTGACCTCAAATTTTGCACACAAGTGATAAAAAATATTGCTGACCATTCCAACTCTCGGAATCGAAATCTGACCCTGATATCAAAAAGTCCACCCCCGTTAAACTTTCCAAAAATCATCCAATTTTCCAACTTTCGCCAATTAACGCCGAAATGACCTACAGACCTCCAAATCAGCATCCGGACACGCTCCTCAAACCAAAATCACCCTACGGCCAACGGAGATGTTCGAACCATAAGAACTCTATTCTAGAGCCGTCTTAATACAATTCAAGCTACGGTCAATTCCTACGACTTAAACTTCCATATTAGGGACTATGTGTCTCATATGACTCCGAAACCAAAACCCAAACCTCCCGGCGAGCTACATAAGCATAAAATGAAATAGAGGGAGAAATAAATAAGGGTTCGGGGTTAATAGTTTCAAAACAACCGGCCGAGTCGTTTCAAGTGCTATAGCTAAAGAGATTGAGTCTCTTAACAAGTTTAGGCATTGCCTAGACTTGGTTTATGTGTGTGGTAACGGGTAGAGCCCTCTCGAGGGCTGAGGGCAAGGTAGAGAGACGTTGTTCCTATTGATGAAAAGAATTCAAGCCAAGGGAGAGATTTTATTATTTGTGGCTTGAATTATTTTCATGTATTTTTAGGAAACCCTTAATCCCTATAGGTTTGAGAAACCCCATTGTTCTAATAGATTCGGGAAAGAAAA